GCCGGAACTGCCCATCACGTCAACAGTATGGCGTCATGACATGACGTCAGCTCGCGAAACGTGATAGCAGCGTGCTGCTATCACCGGTGAAACAGGGCCCTGAATGGAGCGAGAGACGCGAGTGACCGGTCGCCGGGCAAGGAGCGCCGGAGGGGTAGGGCGGAGCTTAGCGCTGACGTCATTGCGTGGCTCCGCCCCATGAGCGCGTAGCCTCTACCCAAAGAGCAGATTCGCTCCGTGAAATTTAACATTACCAGTGAATGAGAAGTACCTTTCATAATCGTTTGGCGTCAAAATACCTTAGTAATAAAAGTTTCGGCAGGTTCTAAAACACACATTGCCAGAATATTGTCAACGAGAGTTAACGCATTTAAAAATTATCGCAAAAAAGTGGGGTCTCAAGGGGTTTGACGTCCATAGTAATGTAGGTATAAGGTAAGATGCCCGACGCCCGTCCCCGGGGCGTCTTCATAAGCGTAACTTTATATCTCTTTGTGGGTGCTCAAGCACCCCCAATCCTGAGCTCAGCACCCCCTGCCTTCTTAAAGCACCCCCAGCCTCCTCAAAACATTCCCAGCTGACTCAAGGCCCTCAATAATCAGAATGTCCATCTCCTACTTCCTAGTACCGTAATGAGCCCAGTGAATCATGCAAATACTATGCTTACTCAATTCAGTGACTAAGAGAATATACATTGAATAAATCACCACAAATTAAGATGCATGACATTTGTGTTAACATTACATCTGATATTATCAGGGGCCCGGGAACGATTTTCAAGTTGGGGGGGGGGGGGGGGCGAGCCTAAAATACCTGACATGATGCATATGAAACAGTGGCATAGCTAGGGGTCTAAGGGGACACGTACCCCCTCCCCCCCCATCGAGTTCAAAGGGAGCCTCGGGTCCGAGAGGCCCTGCGGCGCCATTTGACCGCTGATGGTTAACGATGGCTATATTTCTACTCAGAAGGGCCCCGTGGGGCTCGTTAGAGCACCTCATGGGCCCTAAATAGCCATACTAAGGTCTCCATAAGGGCCCCACGCCGACTTCTGAGGGCCTCTCGCGGCTTTTAAGGACACCTCGGTGGTCTCCAAAGGCCCGTTAAGCCTGAAACAGACTCTTTCCGCAGTCAGGAAATCGCATGCGAGAGCCTATTCAAATACATGGAAGCACGCTCGCATCAATCGCACGCACCTCCCGCGAGCGGTTGATGCGAGAGGAATTACAATGTATTTGAATAGGCTCTCGCATGCGATTTCCTGAACGCAGAAAGAGTCTGCTTCAGCCTTTACTGGCCTCTGAGAGGTCTTACCGGCCTAGAGGGGACAGTTCTAGGGGCATTTCCCACCTGTGATAGTCCCACACTTATTTTTCTGAGGGCCCCATAACGGCAACTGTGGGGCCCTCGTCGGCGCCTATGAGGGCCCACACCGGTGTCTCTGAGGGTTTCACACCCCCAACTCCGAGTGCCTACACCAGTGCCTATTAAAGCCCTATATCGGCGGCTCTGAGGACCCACCCAACACCTGTGCATCTAAAGGCCACCCACTGATGACTTGAGGGCCCCACAACGGTGACCCTGAGGGCCCTACAGGCGTCTGACAGTACCATGCCGGTCTCTTAGGACCCCGCAGGACTTCTTCTGCCGGCCTAAGCCCTAAGGACCCCTTGCCGGTCACTGAGACCCCCCTGCCGACTTGTAGAGAGTTCGCGTCAGCAGCTCTAAAGGCCCCACACCCGTCTGTAACGGCTCTACACCAGCGTCTATGAGGGCCCGGAGCAACGCCTGTAAGGACCCTCATCGGCGCCTCTGAGAGAATCACACTAGCACCTCTGATCGCCCACACCGGCACCTGCATGGCGGCCCCACACCGGTGCCTCCCTTACCGGCGGCTCTGAGGGCCCTACGCCAGTTATTCTGAGGGTGCCACCGATAACTGAAGGCACCACACAAGCCCTTAGTGTAGCTGAGCTTTAATCCCATACCGGCCCTCCGAGGGCGCCACGTCAGTGCACTCATTGCCCCACATCCCTCCCTCACACCCGGAGCGGGTAAACTGTGTTATACTGTTATACCTATAGCAACGATTTCACCACCGTTGTACGTTATGTATTTCTCAAAGTTGACTCAAAATGGTCTAGTACAAAATCCTGCCTGCCAAACTTATGGCCAAGGTCAGGCCCAAACACGTTTTGGGCAATCAGTCTCAGTCCATGACTCCATTCTTCGACAACTATACGGTGCAAGGCCGATACTGTAGAAACTTGCAATTTGCACCCTTGATCTGACCTAAGACCTTGACCTTGACCTCAAACTTTAAATTAAGTACATGTTTTTACTTATTCGTGATAAGATCTTTCGATTGGCGTTTGAATTTTCCAAATCGGACCATTAGTTCGGGAGATAACAGGGGGTAAAATTTATCCCCCCCCAGCCCCACGCGTTCGGCTGGAGACCCCAGCCCCGCGCGGGTTAATGCATTGGGTGAGCCAAAATTGTTTTACAGTGGCGCTATTAAAACAAGCTCTCGAACCGATTTAACATCATTTCTTGCATGATGCCTGATGGCTACAGTAAAAAAGAACAGCTAAAAAAACTACAAAAACTATGGCATGCCTTTCTGAAAGCTATTGAGCACCCCCAATGATTTTTGGAAAACTACACCCATGGGCGTCTTACCCACCCCGTGGGGCAAGGCACCCTTTTGCAAGACTTCTTAAGGGGGCGTCTTACCTCACTCTCCTCTATATTGTACCTGATCGTACCACCTACTATGCATTTCAGACCCCATGAGACCCTACTTTTCGGCGATAATTTCTTCAATTTTTGTCCAATTAGCTTGAAATTTTGGCAAACGATATTTCAGCTCAAGCGCCAATTTTTGTCAATATGGTCTCTTAACAAAATATCAAAATTTAGAGCACTTGTCGTTGGCTCGTAATGCTAATCAGTTTTTGCACCCGGATAGAGGCTCGCTCGCTACCGCACCGGATTGGATAGGAGCGCTGGCCAATCACGTTGCGCCGGGCCCAACTAAACTCCGCCCACTGGCCGTGACCGGGATGGGTCTATGCCGCTTCAGTCGGTGTCAGCACCGCGGAGAGGTCGGAGCGGGACCACATACTGGAGACAAGTGGAAGCTGGCAAAGTTGTTTCGGGACGAAAGCCAAAAAAATTATCTGTTTGAGGGCATTTGGTATCCTCTTCACCTTATTTTGGTATTTAAACATCGAACCAGCTCAGGATATTCAGAATGATCAAAATCAAGGTAGGATCTATTGGAACGGAACCGGCCCTATGAAGGAAAGAGGGATAGACTCTTGGACTCTGAACATTTATTTAAGCCGGAGTTGCACCTATCTCATCGTCAGGTTGGGTCAGGTCACTACCCGATTACCTATAAGATCATGTGTAAGCCTGTGCTTAACCCAAAAATATTGATATATTTGGCAGTGCCAATAAATGTTTCTGAGGAAGGCGCAGAAAGCAACATAGTAGGATGAAGAGTCTCGGGCACGGCCGATTGCCTGGGGCATTGCTCCAGCGAAACGACCGTATTCGTGATTCGTGAAGCGGTGCGGGGTGCCGGGTGGGGCAGAAGCGTAATGTGTCGTATGGTAGAAATGGCCTTTATCGCGGTATCATGTGTGTGTTATATTGTTAAGACGTGCACAAAAAGAAATAGCAATGTGGCAGGCGGACATTGGGCACTACACGAGAACGATCATCAATAAACTCGTATCTTTTTTGTAAAACTTAAGTAACAGTAGGTATGTCCTCAATGGTGAGTAAACTATCTCTAGGCTTTTACATTTCATGTTTGCATTTCAACACACAAGCTCTGGGGGCAAAGTTAGTCTGGCGACCTCCTCAACCTAAGTCGATGATCAAATGGATTAGTCCTGAAGGTGTTCAATGCTTAGTTGCACCGGGATGATATAAATCGATCACGCCGGCATACATTCCTAATCAAATTTCATATATCAAACACATAAATTGCATCATGTTAATGGTGATTCTGTTTTGCAATTTTGACGTAGTCTGACGCGATAGGTACATCATCTTACGCAATCATTTGAAATCAACAGCGTCTTTTATACGCGTTTTTCACAAGCCCCGAATCTTGTGTGGAAATATATTTTTTTGTGACTGAACAAGGTGTACGTACATTTGTGATAGATACAATTAGTCGAGGGCTTCAGCTGGTGCGTTACTTATGCGCGCTATTTAGCTCATTCGATGAAATTACGGCTGCAACGCCAACTGCACGGCAGCTACGGTCCATGCGAGCCGCCCCGGTGCGACAGCTACTGCCCCGCCCGCTCCACGCAGTCGACTGACCGGCCAAGGTCACTACCCCGTCCGCCGGGAGGGCGGACGTCACGTGTTTGTGACGTCACACCTACGCACGGATAGCCTCTACTCCACTGACGGATTTACGGAGCCGATTTTAACATTACGAGGCAACGACAAGTACCCTAAAATTTGATATTTTGTTAAGAGACCATATTGGCGAAAATTGGCGCTTGAGCTGAAATGTGCATTGTGAAAATTTGAAGCAAATTGGACAAATATTGAACAAATTATCGCCAAAAATTAGGGTCTCATGGGGTCTGAAATGCATAGTAATTACACTGATGTGCTTACTCTGACTTACACTAACACGATAACATTGTGGTAGGCCAAGCCTATGTTATGTAAAAAGGGGTAGGCCCTGTATTTCGCCGCCCACAATGTTGAGCATATTCAATGTGCGATACAATTTGAGGCTCCTTATTGACGACGAATAAAACCCATGGCTTTTAATAATCGAGTAATGTTTAAAAAACTTATTACTGTTTTAAGCTGGTATTTATCAATAAATTATAATTTTTGGAAAAATAAAACATATTTTAGTTTCATTTTAAAGCTATTTATATGCATATTAACTTTCAAAAATAAACAACAATTTTCTGCTTCATTCAATAAACTGTTGTTTTTGTTACTGGTTCAAGGCCACGTAGGCTCGCGGCTTGCTGCTGCAGCGCTGCTGTGTTGCAAATATTCCAGCTAAATGCATTTTTTACCGAATAATAGTTGAATTTAATGGCTGAAAAGGATCGCTCAAGATCTGAGTACGATTACCAAGGTGGGTTTTAATTCAAAAGTGGGCTCATGCAATACCTAATATTGGCTATCTACCTGTGCTGGCTCGAAGCTGCAGTCCAGTGTTTGAATGGCCCATGCTTACGATTTTATGTTTTAGATACTCTTAGTGATGTTTTGGCAGATCCGCAAGCGTACGTAAATTGTAAAAGACTACTGCCTCCTCGGTGCCTTTGTCACATTTCGTTTCTTGTCTTTTTTCAGAGGCGCTGGCCTGGTGAGTCCGGCGGCGGGTGTGGCGCGACCACTTCAACTTCGAGCGCTTCACATCGCAGCCATTGGTCCCTACGATTGTCATTCGGTCCCGGCCTATCGACCTTCCAAAACCTCCCATCCATACAAACACTCAAATTTTCCACCGCGCCGATCTGTACACTTCTTACACCTTTTTACACCCAATTTAGGCGGCAGTGCACACATTTCAGCAATAGTGCAGGTGCTTTCGACAGTACGGCATAGTCTGCCTAGTGCCTATGGTGAATTGTCGAAATAGGGGTAGGGGTAGGGGGTAGTGGCATTGGTAGTGGTAGTGGTAGAAGTGTGGCACAGGCTGATCCAATGTGACAGAAGGTGACCTATGTGACCTGGCCTGACCGAAGGTGACCTGACCTGAGTCATGGTGTCCAAAAATGAGCCCCTTGACCCGACTTGACCCCGTATCACCTAAATTTTACCCATCAAAGCCCTCAGAGCAGTCCTCAAGCTCAAAATTTCTCCTCTTCACATTTCCGCTAATATCTCTGTTTCTAGACGACACATCGATATGAATCGAACAGCATTCGAAAGAAAATTGGCTGGTGCCGCATTTTATGACCACGTCGCGAAACAAGTGGCGCAGCCGCTGGTTTAAGTCTATTGAGACAGTTCCCACTGGAGCAGCCGGTTTACCTTTCAGCATTGATTGCGACGATTTTCTTTTAGCGTTTTTCTTCAGCCTCTCGTGTTTAATTTGTGGATTAATGGATCTATGTCAAAGCCCCCCTACCACGTCAAACATGGAGAGTGAGCCTGTACTGTTCAGTGCACACCTACACGCCCGTACCGAATGTTTTCATTTTGTGTGCGCCTGCGCTCTGCAGCCTGGAGTGTATCCAGCAGCTGGTCGGGGACGGTTCAGACGTGGCCCGCCTCGACCCATTGCTGATGACGTCATTCTATGAGCGGCTGACCACCAACCTGGCCCGGCTGAGGGCCGCCGAACAGCATCCTCCGTTCAGGGTGAGTCGGTGCAGAGCTCCCAGCGGCACTCCTTCTCTCTTTCAGCATGGGACAGCTCAGAGAGCTGCGACCGCCGAAACTGCAACTCAGGGTGAACTGAGATGAGATAGTTCAAAGAACCCCGAAACGAAACGGCCAGATTTGGGATGAGGCGGTGAATACAATCCAACGGGCCCCGGAGAGCATGCCTCACTTGTGGAATGACTGACAGCCGCGCAGCGCAGAGGCGCGAGACTGATTAAAAGCAGTCCCAGATCTAAGCGAACTCTGGAGGTTTCTAATCACAGTGGGACAATGCCGGGCGGAGACTGCGTGTGAGGCTGTGGCACGGTCTCTCTGCGCTCCGAGCTGACCGGCGGCCGACAGCGACACCTGCCGCTCCCGGTGGAGCGACAGACCGGCGCAGCGGCCGACCGTCGGCTCCGGTACACGCGGCAACCGGCGGGAGCGGCTCGGCGCCGAGAGGCTGATGTGCTTCGCGTTCTGTAATTTTCTTCTCTCTTTTTCTGTCATGTTTTTTTTTGCGCAGATTCTTTATTCTAACACTGATCGCCTTTTAAAGCATGAATCAAACAGGATCCCATCATGGTGCGGGTCCCGTTATCACCTGTCCATAGGAGTCCCCGGTGTCTTTCGCCTGATGCACGCACATCCCTATGGGATACAGGCGTAGGTGGGCCCGTGGCTGTTCCATATGATGAGCCACCAAATCTCTAAAAATTCAAGCAATTTTTGGAAGACGAAGGTAGGACATCTAATCCTTTACGGAAAAAGGAGCGATTGTTACCGTATCAGTGTATCGTGTCATTACGTTATTGTCACTGTGCCAACGTGTACATATGTGTTGTGTCGACGGGTCTGGTCAGTTTGTCGTTTGCGCTGATGCCGCCGTCGCTCGGTGGCAGGAGAGCCTGCAGGCGCTGTTGGACGAGTGTCAGCACCAGCAGGCCAAGATCCTGCGCATCTGCAGGAGGCCGCCGCCCGCCAAGGCCGCCAGCGCCGCCAGAAAAGGTAAGTGTCGGGCACCATGACTCTGGGCACGCACTTTGTGTGTAGTGTTGGCTTCGAATTAGATCTCACGCTGCCTCCTATGAGCCTCCGTTTGATTATTATTATATAGGTGCTCTGATTAGTATGACCAATCAAACAAGCTATTTTGGCCAAACAGCGATTACACACTCAGGTCGAAATAACAGTAGGCGCAGCGTGGGCGTGCTGGTCGTCTGGGCCTAACTGCACTGTTATTACTAATTTCAGGTGTAGGTATGTAGGTGGGCTGTAATAAGGCAGGCTCATGCTGATTTGGGCAATTAGAGGTAAGTTTGTATCCTGACCTAATTGGTGCTAATTTATTGGCGAGATGTGTTACCCAGGTATATTACATGTAGAGTGATTGATGAAGCCAGTGAATGTGTGTCGTGGCGTGGGGCTACAAGCGTCAAACGGTATGCACTTCATTAGTCATTTAAGTCATTCGACACTGGTGGTGTTAGCCTAATCAGGAACGCTCTCAGATGTTAGTAAGGTGGTCTTTTCTGATATTTTACTTTTGAAAGTTTGTGGCAATCTGTGATGATGCCATTGAGTGCAGTTTTGGTAAGATTGTTCTTACATTCAAACATTTTTTCATTAAATGTGCCGTATATTTGTTTTTATGTCAACGATTCATAAGATTGGTATTAATATGAAATACGTTTAGCGGGTTGCAATTTGTGCCAGGAGCGTCGAGCGCCGGTCTACGGTCCTAATAGATAATAAAAGGATGCGAATACCTGCTCTCAACCAACACTCGAGCAGAAGTATCTGCCATCATTTCACGCGAAAAGTTGTTTTGTTCGTCGCCAAAATATTCTCCTGACGCTAATTCCATTGGAGTGATATTTGTATTTTCAGCTGGGAATCAGTGGTTCATACAGCACTAGTTGTGACAGTTTTCCGAACTCGGTGTCAAAGTGTGATCCTCCCCAGCGATGTCCAAGTTGCGGCCGATCTGCGACGCGCCTCTGACGTATGTGGGCCTATATATCGTGTTACTGTTGGCCGCGGGCGGCGGTCCTGGGGTGCCGGAGCCGTCAAATCACGCCGGCTGGGGCCGGTCAGTGGCGTCCGCTGCGGCTGGGTGCTCCCCCGGGCTTCATGGAACCGGTCACGGCATGCTATTGGGCGGTGGCCACCCGTGACTCTATTCGAACCGACTGCGACAACTGGGTGGCATGAGCGGCCGCAGCGGCCGCGGGCTGTCAGGGCGGGTTAATGACGACTCACTGCGGGCGGGCGCCGCGGGGAAACACCCCGAGAAGTCGGTGACACGGCCCTGGTGGTTGGATGGTCACAGTGCTGAGCTTTTCCGAACGATATTTGACAGTCATTTTACACTTCAATTGCTGAGGCTTGGGTCATGGGTGTACGAGCTGTGATTGCTGTAATTATGCGTTAAAGTGTGTTATTTTGTTAATGTTGCATAGCTGTTTTTTATTGTTTGAATTATGCTTTTGGTACTAAGAGTCGCGGCACCATCGAAGTGAGCAACTTATCAATTAACCCGCGCCCCGGTGGCGGTCTCAGCCAACTTCGCCCTAGTGGGGGTGGGGGTGGGGGCATATGTTACCACCCACCTCTAACTCAAAAACTAAGAGGGGGCTAGAAAGACGCGGTAAAAAGCAGTCGATAGCTCTAAATGCGTACGTTTGAAACTATTCCAGTCATTTTTCATCTTGGAGCAATATTGGGGTCACTGGAGGTCATCAAAGGTCAAAATTTGCCAAATGTCATTATATTTTTCAGAAAACATGCTTTTATCTCAGGAACTATGATAGCTAGAAAAACGCATGGAAAAGCAATCGATAGCTTGTGAACTCTTCTTTCGATAAGGTCATCATCAAAATTGACCTCAGGTCAACGGTTTAGCCTCCAGAGGGCAAAAACTCCAAAAATAGCTGTTTTTTTTCGCAAAGTGTTTTTCGACAATAACTTTTGTCTAGAAAAAGCCACGACATTTATATTGCCAGAATCGTGTTCCTCTCGACGAAACGCGTCGAATGAACTATAATTTGACCTTGAAAGGTCAACTTGAAAATTTGACCTCAGGTCAAGGTCATGGCCTGACCGGAAAAGGTCATGGTGCATATCATTCGATGCGTCTCAACAAGACAAACACAATGAAGCCATCCCCAGCGTCCTATCTCTTTCCAATCGAAAGTTATTGGCAAAAAGCTGTTTGTAGTCTCAAATGATCTTGGATGACCTTTCTAGAGGCTATCAGCAAAAAAGACACCTTGGTCGTCACGGGTGATCCAAATCATTGTGATTCTGAAATATTTGGACTTTTCCTATGCGTACACACGGATCTAGAGGCATTTTCATTTTTCTCCGTTGACTTATAATGGTAAGGTCACGCCACTGACCTGACCTTAGGTCACGGATCATATAAAAAATCCGGGATATACAAATTGTAGGCGCCCATAACATCATGCAATCCACCAAGTTTAAAACCTCTCTGACAAACACTGCAGGCTGGACATGATTGCAAACTTTTTTATGCCTGGTCAGTTAACTTGACCTGGTGAAATGACCTGACATGACCTGGGGTCAAAAATTTCACACATTGTCCAAAATTGATGTACAAAAAGCTATGCCAGGCGGCCGCCGCCGCGGTTTTTTATTTATACGCTAAAAACGCGACAGGGTGGTAACATATGCATATAACATATATGGTAACATATAACATTCGCCCCCCACTGGGGCGAAGGTTAATATTTCATCATTTAGGGATAGACGAGACGACGTGACCACGCACGAACACGCAGAACACCTTTCAAACATGTGTGAGTGTGACCTCACTTCGAAGGCATGCTACCTACTGTTACCCAGAACGCGTCTCTGACGTGTCCTGGCCGTTGTTACAGAGGCCAGCCTTCCGGAGACAGCGAGCCGCACCCCACCCGTCCCGTCGGCAGTCGGTGAGTGCCTAGCTGACAGAATCACGTGCGGGGTGTTCGTTACGAACCGACATGGGTCTGAAACAACCCGATCGCGGAGCTTCGCTCTCAGATACACACATGACACATAAAGCGTCATGACACATAAAGCGTCATGACACGTTTTGAGTTTTGACGAGGATTTCTTTCCTTCGTTCATTCGCCTAAAGCGAAACTATTTGTTGAACTGTGCAGTAGTAGAAATGCGATGTTTCAATTACCGTCTTGACTTAGGCTGTTTTTGTCTGATCAGGTAACACAAAGTTTTGTGAGTTGTTATTCGTTGAAACTATAAAAAATGTCAGGCATCGATACATCGGCTATCACTTATAGAATTGCATCACATTTAAAGTTCAGTTTACTGTTGACTTTGCAATACATTTCGTGGGTCTTGGGTGGCCTGTTCGAATTATGGGCCAGAAGTTTGTCACATTACATCAGATCTCCGTCTACCAAGTCTGACCATGTTTGTCTATAAAACAAGTTTTATAGGGCCAATCTGCCATTGAATGGTGTTTTCAATTACAATGGCAGCCATTCATAGCAGTTCAAAAACACAGATTTCCCGAGTTTGCTGTGATTTCTGGCGGAAATATTTGGTTAGAAATCATTCAGATTCATGGCGCGCCAAGACGAAAAAGCGAGTTTAGTGTTGCAAATATAGTTTGAATGTTATTTTGTGTCGCAGAATGTGGTTTAGACGAGTCCACACCTCGAATTAGTTCTCGTTCTATTCGAATTAGTTCTCGTTCTGTGGCTCGTTCTCGTTCTAAACGTGCCAAAAGTCTCACTACTCTGTCCAGCTGAACTGTCCACTGTCCCGCTGACCCGTCTGTCCCGTGTCCCGCTGACTCCACATCCCCATGTCCCCTCCCGTCCGGCAGACGCGGCGGTGCGGGACGGCGGCGGCGACCGGCGGCCGCTGACGGCGCCCCACCGCTCCCGGCTCCGCTTCTCCGACGTGGCCGGTCTGGAAGAGGCCAAGGCGTCGCTGGCAGAGGCGGTCATCATGCCCGTCCAGTTCCCGCATCTATTCACAGGTGGGAGACATCCGATACCGTGACAGCCGCGCGGGTGACGAGACGTCGGCGGCGGGCGGGCCGGGTGTCGTGTCGGTAGGAACTCAGACGCTGACTGTCGGTCGAGAGGGGGGGGGGGGGGCAGGATCGGATATCAGACACTGCTCTATCGCGTGCCGGGGACAGCGTCGCAGACTGCTACGGCGACAAAACTACGCACAATTTGCTCCACCCGTGTCGGACCACGCGCGTAGTAAAACGTCAACGTCACTCGTGGTCGTAAGGTGGCCCGCTTACGTCACTTGTCGCATGCATTGCCTTGTGCCGTATTGTCCTACTACTTGGCCTCACTGCGTAGTACTCACGGGGACTGTATTGACAGTATAATTGCTGCTCATATGCCTACAAATGTTTTCATATTTAACGTAGGCCACGTCTATCGTGACAAACTAGACTTTCCCAAATAACTACGTCCCCTAACTGACGTCACGGCAATGAAGACTGGTGCATGAGGGACAACTTGGTGACAAAGCGACCACCACCAGACGCCCGAAAAGTTGCGGCTGCGGGTTTCCGGAGTGCTGACCGTGGCCGCAGCCTGCAGGGACGGGGGGAGGGTCTGGCGCCCGGCCGGCGCCCAGCCTCCTCTGTCTGGCCCGGTTTTTACCGTGGCCCGGGCGACGGCCGCTCCGTCGCGGTTCGGCCCAGTCCCGCCCGAAATAGACGGCAAACTTTTCTGTCCGCCGCGCCCATGTAAGGCCCATTTGCGTCATGTGTACCCGACAGCGTCACTGAAGGCAGAAGTAAGGCCCACTTTTGGTTTGGGCGATAAATTTTGACACTGTTAAACTTGTTAACTAAAACTAAAATTACTTGTTAAAGGGACCCTCCCACCTTCAAAAAAGTTTATGAATTGGCATGAAAGTGATGTCGCTCGGTTCAGAAAGAGCGAAAACGAATATCTACCAAATTTCACCGAAAAATATTCACCGGTTTTCAAAATATTAGACTTTTACTTTTGTTTACTTTTTTGGGATCTCCGCTGTTTCTAGCGACTTTATTTTAGAAGTGCGGCGTTTGCGGCAGATGTTGCGCGCAAATAGCATATACCACCGCGTGCTACAAAACGTTTTAGTCAAACATTCAAAAATCGTTAGATATTTGCGCTGACGTCACACATTCAGAGGGGTATTCCTAAGCATTAGCCCCTCTGAATCAAAATGCTGCAATTTTGAAATTCAATATTTCCGATTTAAGGCATTTCTCGATGTTGTGAGTGCCGAAACCGGTAATTGTGAGCCAGGGACCCCATTTTGGCTATCTCAACTCAAATCTAATGTTAAGGTGGGAGGGTCCCTTTAACTAAAACTTGTTAAACTAAAATTGTGACACTGTAAGATAAGTGTCATCGCTGCCACAGTGTGTCAGTTACTTTTATTCAAACTCAGTGTGATTACTTCCGTCAAACTGCGTGAGCATTTCCAAAACCAGTAATGGATGTTTGGTATAAATTTTGTGTCATGATTTTGTGTTCCTGTTTTCATTAACTGGGCCACGGGACGGGGAAGAACGAATGAAATGGTCTGAACGTTTTTCGTTGTCTCTTGCTGAAGTAACTTTACAAGCGTCTGCTTTTCGGTACCTACCGCCTAAGTTCATTGATTTTGACTATCTCATATCACGGAACTTTCAGTTTTTCACTTAAGCATAATTGTTAATGGAGATGCACTTCGGTGGCAGCTTGTGCTTATTAGATAAAAAAATCCGCGATCGTTACTCCCTTATACTTTTATGTTGCGTTGATATTAATGATGAAAGTCGTGGTTAATAATGAAAGTCGCGTGGGAGTTTTGAACGCACTTGTTGTTGGTTGCGGCCGCTTGCGGATGTATTCAGATGCGTACAGCAAAGATGCATTAATTTAATGGTCGGCCTATCTTTGGTCCCTCCATCAATCATCTGTCCTGTAATGGCTCCGGCCGACAAACTCCGTCCTCGTGGAGCTTCATCACCGGCCTGCCACACAGCTTTGGCCACAAATGGACCGTTTTTGTGTCAGTAAACATCCCAGACGAATAGATTGCATCAGCCTCAGCTGATAATGATGCAGCAACAAAACATATAGTGGGTGACTGCTGTCCATGTCCAGAGGAAATGGCGCAATCAGTCATCCGATGTCGTTGACGAAAAATTCGATCCTCATCATTTATAATGGTCCCTGTTATCAACTCATTTGGCCTGTAAAAAGTATGCCTTGTAATGGTATCGATTTGATATAATGTTTGTCCGAGGTCCTGTATTATGAAATTAACATTACACTTTACAGTGTTATTTTTTTTACTTTGAACGCGTTTCCATTTTGTAAAAAAAAAAAATCGGACCGAATTTCATACCGAAAAGTTGAATTTGACAATATTCCAGTTGCTATTGCCGAGGTGTCTGGTCAGATGTGTTGCATGGTCCAAAGACTTTGGGCACTGCTGCTTATTCTGACCGTGCCTTGTACTGCATACCATCGTTCTGTTATGTGTGCAGAAGATACCGTGTCATGCACGGAGGGGGGGGGGGGGGGGGGGAGCGTCCTCGTGGACCAGGGTACGCCTCTGTGTGCAAATTTGTACGGACTGTACCATATATTAGCAGGGGGAGGGGGCGGGGGGCGTCGGCCGTGGACTCGGATGCTGCTGTGTTTGTGCAGTTGTACAGGCCGTTCCGTATACCGTATACCTTCGTTCTGTGGTGTGTGCACTGAGTTAGTCCAGTTAACACTAGACAGTATCGTGTCTTGTACCGTAGGGTACCGAGGGCCGTGGACCCGGGAGTCTTGCTTTGTCTGCACGGATCGTTCCGTGTGCCGTACCGCTCGTACCGTATGTACCGTACCGTCACCGTGTATTACAGGTGGCCACCGGCCGTGGACCCGGGTGTTGCTGTGTGTTACTATGCGGGCCGTCACCGTGTATTACAGGTGGCCGCCGGCCGTGGACCCGGGTGTTGCTCTACGGGCCGCCCGGCACCGGCAAGTCGCGCCTGGCGGCGGCCGTGGCCGGCGAGGCGGGCGCCGAGCTGTTCCCCGTGTCCGCCGCCGACCTGCTCTCGTCCTATGTCGGCGAGACTGAAAAGTGAGTTCGCGGGGCTACTCCCCATCGCTGTCATCCAGAACGGTCGGGAGGGCAGGAGCTGGTGCCGACGACGCCGTATTCGTATGAGACCCGAGAGATACACGCCGTCCTATCTTAGATAATTGATATACCTACGGAGATATGATAAATATGTCGAGAGATCCCTAATCATTATTCGCGTTGCTGCTCAGCTCTGTTCGTATAAAATGTCCTAGGCTAGGATTTGCACCTCAGTGAACCGGACCATAACATAAGCTCTAGCATCCTTTGGAAACCAAAGCCTTAATCGTTGGGTCCCACACACTTCCGCGCGGCCACTGCATGTCGAATGGCGAAGGCTGACTCCGGCCCGCCCTGCGATGAGGAATAGGTATTACCGAAGTGGGTCATGGCATTCTGTTGGTGATTGGACCCGTAAATTGAAGTTTAAGGTTCGCTCCGCACGAGCACGTGCGATGGGCGCGCACGATTGAGGGTGTGGGATTTCATACCGGCAGGGAATCGGAGAAACCAATGAAGCAATAAAAATGCAATCCGGTACGCCACCTCGTCTAACAAATCACCCCAGCCGCAGACATTTCAGAGCGATAGCTTCGGACTGCGCTCATGAGGAAACTGAAACAGGCGTGCCTTTGATTAATTTGACAAATTAGCCTCAACATTACCGATACCAATGGTGACTATTATCATCTTAATGAAACAAACTTATTGCGAAGGAACGTAATTTTGAAATATTTTAAAGTAAAACGAAACGAACACGCAGCAGAATTAACTCACGGTTTCCAGCACGAGCGCCTGTCACCATTGCGATTTTACCCATTTATAACATTGCATAATACCTATATTATCAATCGGCGCAGCGGTAGGCATCAGGTCATAGTGATCTGCCATACTCGTTTGTTACATCACAGGCGAATATTACCTAACTCTGACTGGCTTCCCGAATGTATGCTCTAATTTTCTGGATATTAGGTAAAGGTAAAATTTATTTTTCCTTCTTAGAAGAAACCAATAAGTGTTCGCTTCTTGATACGAAATCGAGGTGGTGATCTTCAGTGTCTTCAGCATGCTCGCAGTCTTGTTCAATATCGCTCCCCACAATTCCCATTCCCCCCCTCACCGTCTCACCCCGCCCGCCCGTCTCGTGCAGGGCCATGTCGGACCTGTTTGCCCGCGCCGCCTCTCGCCAGCCGGCAGGCCGGGCCGTTCTGTTCGTCGACGAACTGGACGGCCTGTGTCGCGTCCGCTCGGGCCGCGAGGAGGAGCACACCCGCCGGCTGAAGACGCACCTGCTGCAGCTGATGGACGGCCTGCTGTCCGGCGGAGGCGGCGGAGGCGCGGCGGCCACCACCTTCCTGTTGGCGGCCACCAACTGCCCCTGGGACCTGGACCCGGCCTTCCTGCGCCGCTTCCAGAGGCGCGTCTACGTGCCGCTGCCCGACAGGTTAGTCGTAGTGCTAGCTGACCTGCAGGGGGTCCTGCTCATGTCCTGTGTGTCCTGTACATGTTACAGCTGCGTATATGCTGCCGCGGATGTAGGAATTTATTTTCTAATGCATTTTAGCAGTGCCTATCCCAGCACCTTCTGCCCATTTTACTGCCGGTCCTGTCCGGTCGTTCCTCCCATAGCGCTGGTGGCGGCCACATACCGTCGTCGCCGGCGCCGGAACCGAACCCAGTCAGTTCAGTTCGACAGAGTGGCGACACAGCGGCGCGACGGCGCGCGTCTGTGACGCAGACGCCCGTCCCCTGCACTGGCGTCACCAGCGGTGACGTCGACGCCAACTTTTCACTGAACTCCGAATCGCCACTGGTCCGTGCCAGCCAGCCAAGTTGCCGCGTGCTCCATGACGAGACGCGTGGTCGGCCGGGGCTGCCGGGCTTCTGTTCTAGTTGAGCCCAATGGCGTGTCCTGTTAGCATTGCCGGACTGAATTTCATCGGACGTCGCGACATTTCCCTTATGCAACATGCTCGCAGAGATCGTTGTGCGTCGTTATGTCGCCGGGAGTGGGACGGGTATTGTTTCTAGTTACTGGTCGTTGGTGGTGCACATTTCAGTGGTGCAAATTTCAGTCCACGGAACTGGTGGGCGCGAGTGTGGCGAGTAGATAACATGTCTGAACGAGGGCCTTTTGGGTTTTGTCAGGGAATCTGGTGCCTGACGTAACCTGTACCCGACAACGGAAGCTCACTTTTATAGTGAATCACGATCTGGGGGCTAAAAGACGACAGGGTGGGCATATTTTTGTTTTCGCCCACGAGCATTGTCTAAATACAAGGGATAATTTCAAATAAATAAGTAATCCATTCTGTTGTCGAAGAAATCATACAAGTTCTTCATATCAATTCAACAGCCTTACGAATGTTAATCAGTCCCCTTCCCTCCTTTGCACACGCGCCGCTTTCATCGTCATTCTCCTGGCTGGATGCGTTCATTTGGCATGAGTCACACTATATGTAGTCAGACTAGACTGTAGTAAATGCATACCGTACCTATTAGGCCGGTGTGTCCATCTGTTTATGAGTACGGCTGATGTCACTGATGTGCAATACTCGTATGCACCGTGCGTGTGTCGCCAGGGCGGCGCAGCGGCGTCTGATCGAGCTGCACCTGGGCGGCACGGCCACCAGTCTCTCGGAGCTCGACTGGCAGCAGCTGCTGGCCGGCACCGACGGCCTCTCCGGCTCCGACCTGGCAGAGCTCACCCAGCACGCGCTCTACCAGCCGCTGCGCGAGCTCGAGACGGCCACCAGCTGGCGACGACTCGGAGACGGTGCGTCCGACCAGCGGCTTCCACGCCTTTCATTTTCCAATACCACTTCCCACATTTGTACCTATAGCTACAGAGTTTGTATGCAGAGTTTCATCCAGCTTTGTTCCACGACACGTGCATACGCACAATATTCAAAGATGAAATCGTTAAAGCTGCTCCTCTTGCCTATGGGAGGTGCTAACGGATCCGGTAAGTGACATGCTTGTTAGCCGCAGTACGTGATCGACTGACTGCTGGGTAGCTAATCGGGTGGACAAAACGCCGCCAAATGGCGTCAGAGATGGTTCGACTAGCTCTTTCATGAGACTAAGGATAATCTGATCACGCGAATAGTGATGGCCGTAATGGGTCAGTACCATTCATAAGTCATGAGGTCAGCGATGGGTCAGTTTGCCAACCGTGTAATATGGAATCGTCTCGACGGTAGGCAGGCACGATCATCTTCCATTTATTGATGGCTATCAGATTTTCATGCTTGATAATGGGCTGAAAATGTTAAATGCTGACTTATGGTTTTAATGCCGCTGACTGAATGAATTGAATTGCAACCATCCGACGCAGTTTGGAAAACATTTGTTAGTTTCGACCAGTTGCAGATACCATTTGTCGAATGATAGCGAAAGCAAATGATGGAGGCATCAGCAGAATGATTATTCATCTGAATGGACATAACGACTGTCTGCATCCCTTTCAGTCGGCTACAGACATACCGCGCCGACAGATGTTCTTACTGCGCCGTGAGTATGAACACACGTCTTAGACGCCCAGTTTCGGTCCCCACCCCGGTCAGCTGATATCAGAGTCGGGCCTGGGGAACTGCCGGTGATGTGGCTCGATCGAGCCTAAGGGCTGACTCATACCGACCCGCTGCAGTCAGCGTTAGTCCGGGTCTGTCCCAATGTGTAACCGGACTAACGGTAATGCTAGAATCGGTAATGTAAGATGCCCCCACCCGAGGGAAGAGCAAGAGTAACGACCGCCGATTTGAATGGCTAGCACAAAGGCGTACAAAACACAATGGCCGGCTACATACACTGATGAAAAAGTGACATTCAGCTTTCCAGCGTTTCTAGCTGGTTAATGACCTTGACCATGACCTCTCTGTAAATTATTCGCTCGCCGTATTACATATCAGAGTCGGTGAATGGTTGGAACGTCCGGAGATCTACTTCAGCTTCCGCTTTAAAGCACAGCGCAGAAGACTTATAATGGTATGTTTCATTCACCGATTTATCATGGTCGCTGTAAGATGAACAACGGCACGCTTCACAGTTACAGGCTTAAAACCTTCCTCTGCTAATGTTCCGTTTCACCATAAATAGCGCGCATTAAGTTTGAACAGACACTCCTAAGGGCGGGCGAACTATCTTTATCGGAGCCTGCCATCCGTGCGTATTTAATGTATATGCTGAGCAGCACAGGGACACACTGTCGGACACACTGCTATTCAATGTTACTCATGTAGATTTCTTTGAAGAAGCCACGGCTTTCTGTTGCGATTTGTCGGTTGTCCGGAGCTGGTGGCGGCTGTTGAGTGACATTCCTACGATTATTCTCCGTGATTGTTCTCCCATGCTGATGTTGGAGTGATAGCTGTGGTCCAGCTGTTATCCAGGTATCCATTACAAATATTGTTCTCCTTCTGTTGTCTGGTTCTTGGCCGGCTGTCGTCGGCCGGAGGAGCGGGCGGTGCGTCCGTCTCAGTTTCCGGGGGTGACGGCGCTAATGGCCGTGCTGACGCCCCCGGCCGCTCCTCTAACGACACGGGACACTCACACCATCAGTTATAGCCACCCGCTCCAGTCTGCGGCCCTTCTCTGAGCCGTGAGCCGGCCCTGCAGACGGGCCGAGCTCTCACTGACGGAGGAGCGGTGCCATTAGAGAGGAGACGCGACCCACTCTGAAACGGGCCCGCGCCGCCGGCCGTGAGACGGGTGCTCCAAATAAAACGGAACCACTCTATGTCGGAGAGGTTCGGGTGATGCAACAAACAATTTGTTTGGTAAAAGTGTTTGTTCGGCACATGGTGATTGAATCATGAAATGACATGTCAACATTCTGCTCACCGCCCTGTCATAAAACATGTTTATCTGGGAATAGGTCTGCCCTCGCGGACCAATCTCGTAAAATGCCATTGGCGTTGACTGGTCGGGACGATTTCAGCTGTCCAGTGCGACAGCCGCGCCGGGGCGGCTGGGTCGCCGGCGACATCTCCGTCCCTTGCTCCCGCGGGGGCCACCGACTGCCATCTCTCCCGCAAACGATTGCGCCGCTATCTGGCCTAATTCGAAAATTGCTTCTGAATAAACGGACAGGGCCTATGTCCGACGTCCGATTTCGCAGTGCCCACTGGGAAGGGTTGTTATAGATAACCAGAGATGGATATACCACACTTAACTGCATCGAAACCGCTGGACAGCAATTGCTGGATAGTGGATATCCCCTTCTGTGCATTTTTCTGGTATAACGACTAGCCAATGAGCTGAATCACCGATGCTGAATGCTGCTGCCTTTGCGTGCGTTACAGGCCAGTTTATGGTGTGCGAGCCGAGTCACCCGGACGCGTTCACCTGCTCTGTGTCCGACATACCCTTCCACGCGGTGAGTACGCGTTAATGCTGTGTATAATTGCATGAACAAGGCATATTTGTGTTCCTAAATATTTTTATAATGCACTTATACCTATGCATACATGTACTTACATCCCAGCCCGGCCCGACCGACGCTTCCTAATGCCGTCTGAATAGGTGGTTGAATGTTGCAAAGGCCGCTGACGGCCTATGCAAATACGAGCGATTGTCACTGTCGCCGTGCCGTAAAGCTGGTTTATGTGGTCTTATTGGTATCATCAAACCCGAAACGTCCGCGTGGTCGGGCCGTTGCCGCGTGCATTCACGGTCGGTCATGTCAATCTTAGAGTGGCCCCGATCGGGACGGTTCCATTGAGAGCCCTCGTCTCATTGACTCGCTCGTATATATCGATAACCTTCTGGGACGATCATCACTGATGGTCCGTGTCTCCGGGTGTCAGCTGGCTCTTCCTGACCGGGGATAGAACATGGGGCTTGGGCCTGGGACTCGGGAACGAGCCCTTCATGAGTCCCTGGTGGTGCCGCACGAGATGGGGACCCCTTATACTCGACCCAAGGGGTCTCTGGCGGGACCACAGGGGACGTGCGATCGCCCAGTGATTGGTGACGGAACTCAATCAACTTAAATGCTATTTAAACACCGGAAGCAGCATACATTTACCGGTAACTAACTGATCTTTCGCAACTATATTTGGTACGTATTCAGGTCGGATATTGTTCATGCTATTTAGTCTATTAGTAGGTAAACTGTCATGATAGCGCGTACTTATCGAGTCCGCTGATCCGTCGGCTGTAGCCAGGGGCGGTGACACCCGACACTGTGGGTATCGTCTCTCCCGGATCCCGGTACAGCCGTGTCTGCCGTCCCACAGAGCTGGCCAGACGCACATTGCATAACCGCTGAATGCCGCGTATGTATGAGGCTCAGCGACAGGAGAGCCTCTGATGGCAGTGTGTGAGACACCGGGAGACGCGCTACGGGAAATGAGACGCAGCGCTAAACGGGTGTGTTTGCTGCCGCCAAAGGCTTTCTACAAATTCGGTTTACCCGGGGAACACTGCAATGTGCTCACCCGAGCCAGGCACATTGTGATAAGGTTAGCATATTCTTTCTATATTCACAGGCTTTATGTAACTTACGACCCTTTTGAAAACGATGTGAACTTTTTTTTTTTAGAAAAGAGTCATTGGGAGCTATGACGACTCACCGAAAAAGGCGCAACTGGGCTGAATATGGGCTGTCATGACTGACATCAAGTTTTAGAACGTCGTATGTCGAAATGACCTTTCTCTGTAAAAGAAGCGCTGGAACGTTGGTGTGGCGTCGATTTTTATTCTTTCATGTACTACACAGAAGCTCTGACATGTTACATCAGTCATTTTCATGGTCAAAAAGCCAACCCTGACCGTGGTCAAGCCAGTGAGAGAACAGTGCAGCGCGAGCAAGGGGGTGGGGGCGCTGTCGTTTTCGAGCTATGCGGCGCAGCATAACGTCAGGGGTAAACCACTCGTGCCATCTAGGGGCAGGACTTGTAAGCTTTGAGACCGAACCTGCCTGGCTGAAGCGTTAGTCGTGACTCATACGGCATACCAGTACATATCTGAAGCTTTTGCAAATAGCTGCTTCCGGCCCTACACTAACACTAACCAATCTAATTAAGTCTTTAGGAAAACGATGTGATTTATGTACACAGCTACCTACGCCCCTGCGTTTGATGTTCGTTGAAATATTACGAAATGCTGAACTAATACGAACTAACAATACTTACCTATAGACTGGTGAGCTGGTGCAAACTGGTGAACCGGTTCGATGCGTCTTTGCATAGCTAGATATCTCCAAATGCACGTAAATGAGCTATTCTTTGTAGACTGCTTCGAATTCTAATTAAGTTCAACTCAGCAGCCGACTCGGTAGCCATGATCTGCCCATAACGTGATCACTGATTATCTCTTGCATGGACCTACGATTTACATGGGTGCAAACATTCAATCCAAGTTACATAGACTAGTATACTCGCTATCCGATGTCTGATGCGAACATAAGATTACAAACATATCAATCGGCCCGTCACTCGTTGTGTTCGCCGCACGCCATAGACCGTGTCAATGTGTCATTGCCTGGTGCATCATACCGACCGGCGTACTGCAGGGAAATTCAGGTCACAACCATTTGCGCATTGTCTGGATTCTAGCGAATGCTATATAGAACTGTCTGAGCGGCCGAGCCAAGTTCCATTGGGGGCTGAGAAATTCGGAACTCTTCAGTGAAATGGCGACCCGAAAGTTATCGACGACAATGCTTTACCGATAACTACATTGCAATGGATTTGGGAACGTATTGTTGCATTGCTGGAACGGGGTCATTTGGGAGGCTCGTTATACATGAATCCCCCGCTGATAATTGACCAAATCAGATGTGATCAAATGACTGTCTCGTTGATACCTGGTTTACCAACGCACATTTTCAATGATGCGACTCCGTTTGTGTATTTCCTAGACCCTAGTCCATCACAGTCCTCGCTCACTCCGTATTTGTTTGACAGGTGGTGGCGCGCGACTTGCAGCTCTCGGATTTCCTGGGTGCCCTGCGCACCACGGGCCCCTCGGTCAGCCAGGAGATGCTCCGGAGGTACGAGGAGTTCAGCAAGGGCCGCGGCAGTGCCACCTCACTGGGATAGGGCGGCGACTTCGACCGACTGCATCCCCAGCACGGACACAGGACGGCTTGGTGAGTTAACCCCAAGCCATGGTGGACGGCAGAGGCTTGCTCGCCTCACAGGGAACACTGCAGATGCCTGGTCTTTGTGAGAGGCGTGTTCATCTGTCGTCGACTGGATGGTGCTCATTCGGCGAGTCCTCTCCGGGTCGGTCGGGCGGCCGGCCTCTCAGATGAACCCTGCAGACTAGACAATGGAACTGTCCGCGTATCGGCCGACGCGATGTGTTTGTTGGCATTTGAGATGGTGGTCGCGCGCCGTAATATACTGCCGCCGGGCAGTTTTTCACTGGGAACGGCTCGGGGCGGATGCGGACCGACTTTATGGGGCGGGCGGCAGCGGTCGGGTGGGCGGTGAGGGCGGGGGCGGGGGCGGGGGCGGCAGCGTGGGCGGCGGCCGCCCGCCGCGGTCCGGAGCACCAAACAAAGTGGCTGTCCCATTACGGCCGGGACGACGATTTGGGAGATAGGGAGAGTCGGGACGGGACCCGAGATCAGAGGTCGGAGGTCGGGAAGGGACCCGAGATGTCAGTGTTGGGAGCCAGAGCTGCTGGAGACAAGTACTCGTAGCGTTGAAACGAAATTTGCGATGAGTTGCCATCACATTCAAAAATGGCTTGGGCTAGACCTCAAAACTCGCACATTGAGACGCTAATTAAGGCATATGGAAGATAAAGAGGTTGGCTTGGTAACCACTTTTAAAAGGCACTATGTAGTTCAACATCAACAGGCGCCAGGGACGAGACCCAAAGTATCGCAAAGGGGTCGGCACTGTATGTAGAGCTCGAGGCGAGCTGTTGGGTTGTACCGGGGCGGGCTGCTATGCTGAAGTAGACTGATGGTTGCAAGGCTCTCCGGGCAGTAAGGGGGATGAACTATTGCATCAGCCCAGCGGGCCGAGCGGTCGTTTTTGCCGTGTGAACGCCCCTGCATGGCGCCCGACGCCGGATATGACGCCAGCAGCCCTCAGAGCGCCGTCCGGGCGGACTGTGAACACCCAACGCCCGGACGGCCCAGCAGACATCCCCGCCCGGTCGGTCTACAGGGTGGGGCAGCATAATCGGGAATAAATATCAAACGGGATTATTTGGTCATGAATTTAAAAATATAGCTCCAAGCACTATTTTAACAACATCCCATCAATCGGTCACCTTTTACCTATCCCTCATCCTATTTGACCGCCCTTCGCGTCGATGACCTTCTCAAGGCGGGTCCAAAAGCACGCGCATGCACGTGCAACCTCCTGCTTGTCCATGATCGCCCATCAGCTTCGTACCTTGCACTGAAGACCGTTTTTACTGATGATAAGTTGTTCATTAAACTTCTACCAAAAAACGCTCCATATAAAGAATTTGGTCGGATTTAAATCGGCGGAGTTGAAGGACCAGAAGTTTTTGGTTCATCTCAGGTGGAGGTGCCCTACACAATAACATGTCGTCCTCACTGCAGTACCAGCACGGACAGAGTCCTCGTAAGACGTGATCTGGACCGTCAGTGATCCTCTCTTCCGACGACTCCACGTGAGTCTGCCAGAGTGTGGATGTATTTACCAGAGGTGCTCGTTTTATCCGGGCTCGATGAAGTAGGGTGCACCACGTGCACCTCCCTTGAAGACCACCCATAGGTCCATCACCTCAACAGGATGTTTACTTTGCATGACCGCTGCAATATTCTCGATACAATCCCCTATATGGCATGCCATTCTTTTTTATCGTATTCTAGTCGGTGATAAGATTTTTGGTCGCTGAAGTTTTGAACATTGTTTCTTTTTAATATGCTCAAGAGCTTCTTCCTTATATTCAAGTGAGTCATCTTGTATGTCCTCTGCTAAGAGTTATTTTACGACGATTACGTTAACTTTTTGTCCTAAGTATCCCCACACAATCCTTATCGTCCGTGATAACACGTTGACCTGTCCAGCAACCTTTACGTGGAATGGCATTGTTTTAAACAAAATGTTCTTGTTTTACTCGTTTAACATTAGTGTCTATGGGCGCGCGCAAAGCACTTGGAGCACCGTCGAACTATTTTGCTGCTCTTTTCCAGGAGGTTGCATGCTCATGGATGTATTCATGTCAGATGATGCACAACTTTTGGGCGTTTCGTTGCCATGATATAATTTATCAAAATAATGCCATGCCTACTCATGACCAGAGCCCAAAAAGCATTCCCGATTATGCTGCCCCACCCTGTAGTGGGCCATCCGCCGTTCTGGCGGTCCAGCAGACATCCAATGCTCAGAAGGGCCAGTCCGAGGCCGGGACCTCGGGTTGCTGAAATGACGGAAGCTGGATTGTTTGAGCCGCCGAGCCTACGACGAGAGGACAGTCACAGCCGCGCCCCGAGGCTCGTGAGGAAGCCGTACTCTCCAATCTGCCGCCGGGGTAGCGCGGGTGTCCGGTGCCTCCGCTGGCTGTCCGGCCGCGGGGGCCGAGCGCCCTGTCGGCCGTCCGATTATGGTGCCGCCGGCCGACACTCACGTCTACAGACAAACCTAACTGGGCGCGACACAGTCGGGGCCGCCGGCAGACGCGTAGGCTGGCCGTGCGGCCCGGGCGACAATCGTCGCCGAAATTTCAACGGTGGGCGTCTTTATGACACAGCGTCGTCCGTTCCGAGCACTGTTCCCGGGTGCCAACCGAACGCAGCGGCTGGAGTGGTACGCAAGAGCAAGTTTGATACGCTCTGGATTAAAAATTGCGATGTGCAATGTGTATTCTCCGAACCAATCTGGTAGATTCCTAGTCCGATTGCGGTGGTGGGAGTCGGTATTACAGAGACGCCGCTCCGGGCAGGCGCCATGACCGCATGAGAAGTGCTCCTTCGTCGCACACCACTGCGCACTGCTGGATATTTCCCATCACGTGATTGCACATGTGTAATGTGCTCGGGCATGCGTGTCGGTATTTGAGATCATCTGCCGGGAGCATCCTGCTCGAGCCGCGCTGCAACACCAATCGCCGACATCACGTAACAAACCCACGCGCTGACGCCAGATGCATGGCCTGACACGGACACAGTGGATGCAATCAACAGTCGAGACGCGCATCGCATTGGCAGAGCCCCGCTCGGAGTTCACTTGACGCAGGGATACCAAAATGGAATGTGGGAAATTTGGAAAGCAATTTCGCAGCTTGCTAAGTGCGGTTACGTTATACATTCATTGCATTGCAGCTCTCGCAGCTGAAAGTCATCATCCAGTACAAACACCTGCGCATCAGGGCCATCCCTGGTCTGCTCCGGCACCAGCCACTGGGGCAGACCAGGCACACATCCAGTGTTGATGCGGCAGACCACCCATCCAGCTGCGCGGCGCGTGCCCGGTATGAGGGCGCCAGTCCCCAACCTCAGCCAGCTCAGTGCGTGTGCCCCCCTCCCCGGCACGTGTGCCCGCTGACCGGCGCGCTGTCCGTCCGTCCGTCCGTGCGGGTGACGTCACGAACAGAGACCGTCATCTGCTGATGGCGGCGACGTGTCGCCGGCGCGGAGAACGCTGCAACAGGCGGCGGCCCGCCGACGGCTGCATTAGTGATATTGAGCGCCGGCCGGCCCGGCGCGCGGCGGCTGCCCACTCGGAGACGGCCCATGGGCGCCTCGTCCAATTAGCCCAGACACTCGTCCCACGGCTAATGAAGAGTGGTCAACGAACACACGGCCTCCGACAAGTAGATTTATTAGAAAACTAAAACAAGTGTGAATTACGCCAGCATCTTATCACATACGAGGCGGGCGGCGCGGCGCCTGGCGCTGGCCGGCCGGACCGCGCCGCTGCCGCCGCCGACCCCAGCCGGTGTTACAACACAACAGCGGGCTGGGCGGGCCGGGCTGCTCACATGAGTACATGGTTCTCGCAGGCCGAGAGATTTCGTTACACGAAAACCTCATCTTCATCTCGGTACGATCACGTCCGGACACCCTATTCTTAGATGGGCGTCAAAGTAGGCCGAAACCAAGCGTTCAGCCAAACGCCTTGAAGCCGATATGGGACACAGGATGTGATGAGCGACAAAATACTTCAGATCTGACACAGATGAAGCGAACAGAGCGCATAACACATTACATTGAGAACAAGAGATTCTCGGGCAGTGCTACAATAACAGACGCACAGGCAGCCACGCAGGACTGGTGAAATCACATTATCCGTCGTGAATCGCTCCGACAAAACCCGCACAAAGAACCAGTCCAGTAGCATGTGCTCGGCCGCGGCCGCAACCGTTTGAGCGTTGTTTTGAGTCTCAAGCGTTACAATTGGGCCATCATATCCGCAGTTACCCGCGACGGTCAACGTTAAACCGATCTCTCTATTATGCTGACGCAACTTATAGACGAACGGATTTCCCAGAAATCCTATACTTACCACAAATCTAAAACAACGTATCTTACTAAAGCCTTGGACCCAGCGTGTGTTGTGAGCGCCGTTGGTTAGAGCGCGCCGACGGTGTGCGGTGCGATTCGTGAGCTCTCGTTACGTGTACAGATGCGGCGCGCTGCCGCCGGCCGACTGCCGCGTCAGATTGGTGACGGAGACGGACGGCGGCGCAGCTGGACGGGGCCGATTGCCGCGCCCCGCGGATAGACGGCCATCCGTCTGTGTGCGCCCCAGGTAACCGGATATTGGCGCCGGACACTGCCGGCCTCCGGCCACCTGAATTATAGTAGTCTTAGTGCCGCCGCCCACCCGTCGTACCCGTCCATCGGACGACCGCGCTACAATTAAATATCAGTTCGGTGAAGGGTGCTAATGTTGCTAGCGATGCTCCTTACTCCTTACCCTCATAAATCTATCCATCCTTCAACGATACAGACCGTTGGTCGTAACAAATACTGTCCAGGCTTCCCATGCCACTTCTTCAATAATCTCATGTTCCAAATCATCTTGGAAATCACGGTCGTTCTCCTATCTGGAAATACTGCACTCCGATTGCCATTCAAACTCCAAAAGCAACCAATTGCAAAGCGGCTTGGCCTGGCCATCGTCTTTACCCCGCACGGTGCCTATGAGAAACGCGTGTCTTTAGCTGGACGGCGCAAACAGATCTGTGATCAAATCAGCTTCGAAGTGACTTCGACGTCCCGCTCGAACCCCGCGACCTGATCACTGGGGGGCATCAGGGACGTTCCGGGCCTGAGACGCGGCTACGACCCTGTGTCACAGGGGACAAACATCGGCCGTAACACAGGAAATCCACGGAGCCGCCATGGGTCGGGCGGTGCCGGACAGGGCCCATCTGCTGATGGCCGCGGGGGCCGGCCGAACAGCACACAGTCCGTCCGTGCGCGGGCAGTAAACGGAGCGGATACGGGGCCACGGGCCGA